TCGCTATACGGGTACATGCCGCCAAACAGGGTATGGTTTTCAGCGATTCTACTCTGGAACAGGGTATATAAAATCGCGCTCGCTCTGGAACAGGGTATATGAAATCACGCTCTCTCTCCTCTCTGGAACAGGGTATCCATTTTCGCAATACCGGAACAGGTTATGATTTTCAACGATCTTGCTATGGAACAGGGTATCAATTTCAGCGATTTTACTCTGGAACAGTGTCAGGGTTCAGTGGTTCAGTGGGCTTAGCGGCACATCCCTACCCTAAACGGGCAAGAGTACCCCCACCCCCCCACCCCGGGCACAGTGGGTTCGTACCACATCGTATCCAGATAAGATTTTCTAGTTTTTTAATTCATATTATTATCAATTTGGCAATATCTTTGTCTTGACTATCATGCATCTTCAAAAAAAAAAAATTATACCCGGTAATATTACCCGCTGTAATACTACTCTGACAATCAGGATAAGATCATATCCTTGATCAGGTGATTGCACCTTGTGTAACTAACCACTATATCTCACAGATTTAGCCAATAGATACAGCACCATATATACATTGTTCCTATAGTTTTATTTTTATTAGAATTTGCAGTAACCAGATTTTTGCTAAGCAGAAGAAATGCAAAGAGTAAACAGAGGCAACGAATAGTTCATGATTTTGAGCCTTGGTTTAGGCCTTGGATTACTTAATAGACCCGTTTCGAATTCCAAGTTACCGCTGTGTTCCTTGATTACAGACTCATTTGCACAGGGTTAGCCTCGTATCAGTGTTTAAATATTCACAAATACCAACGGTAAAGTAAAGAATGCACAATTTCAACAATACAAACACTTTGAAACTCGACGGACCTTGACTGAAACACGTGAATATTCTGCACAAACTCAAGGCTAACCCTGTGCAAATGAGTCTGTAATCAAGAAACACAGCGGTAATTTGGAATTCGAAACGGGTCTATTGCGATGGAAAAAATAAGCTCTCTAAACTTGCATAACCCATTATATTTCTATAAATATACAATTACTATAACAATTATTAGCTATGAGGCATGTTTAAAATGACTATTAAATAATCAGTTCAGAATCAAAAAATACACTTTTAACCACATTTATATAACTACTGAGATAATCAAATAGGAATAATAAACTATCAGGCTAAAAATAATTGTTGGTCTTTAGGCCAGATAGTCTTGACAGGTCACACTAACTGGTCACGCATTGATCAGTTAATGTGAATTGTCATTGTGTCTTGACATTCAGCAGCTTTTATTTATAACCCTGAAAATTACCATATTAGTTATTAACAACCAGATTAATTCATCATAACATCATTATGTTCGTTATATAGTTCCTTTAGGTACTAGTATGTACTAGCATATACTAACTACTAGGTTAATTATCCAACTCTCATAATCCACGAATAGGGCATCATTATGCTTGTCATTTATATACTTTCTATACGCACTACAGTAGTATACGCTCAATCGAAGAATCATTGTCGGGTTCAGAAACATAGAACATAGAAGCTGAGACCAAAATGGCACATGGGAAATGACATAATTATATTATAATTTATTCATTTACGCCATCCATGCAGTCGGTTTAGAAGACCTGCCTTGAGAGTGGATGATGCCACGGGTCACCAGTCACAGCATGCAATGTACTTCCCATGTGCCATTTCGGTCTCAGCTTCTATATTCTACGTTTCTGAACCCGACAATGATTCTTCAATTGAGTGTATATTAGCATTACATGTAGTACTTACTAATAGCAACAGATAGAAATCTAAACTAACATGTTATTCGTTCAGCTTTCTTAATCCACAATCAGGCATTATGCATTACATTTTAATTCCTATGGTACGTGTATTTATTATATAGTTAGGATAGTATGCACGTGCTCATTGGTCAAAAACTGTGCTTTATTAGTGAATGGAGCACAGAGCTGATGCCATCTGCGCGCACGAAGTGCTGCTAGATCCTGTGACTGTTTTTCTTTTTGGTAAATAAATTCAATACCAAAAAAATTAGTAGCTATATAATAAAACAAATAAAACAGCTTTTTCCAAGCTCCGTTCAGAAATAAAGCACTTAGGAAGAGCTGCAAGCACCCAAGAAGTGTCAAAAGTACTTGCCTACGGCTGGTGTTTCTCCATACACTTCTCTCATGTTTACGTCACTTCCTGCATGCTTTATTGCTGAACAGAGCATGGAAAAAGCTGTATTATTTGTTAAGTAACAAGCCAATTAAGACATCAACTAGGTTTATCATCTTTTGATACGAAATGTTGATAATAGTTCTTGGTGAGGTCTGTCATGATTTCTTGCATACATTCAGGTAGTTCTGCCATGAATTTTCCTACAAGAAATTTTTATAGAACTTATTAGATGTAATGGATACAGTATGAGTGGTAATGTTTTATGACATCCAGCTATTTCAAAAAAAGGTTGAAGGTTTTGTTGCATGTTGCTATAAGGTAATTCCCTTGAAAGAAATTTCGCCAATAACTTTGTCCTGAAACTTTGCATGGACATTACTGTAATTATGTTATGGACATTTTAAAAACGCCTTTCATTTCTTTGCTTTATATGCTTTATCATTTGCTAATATTAATACTACAACACATCTTAAGATCTGCTTAAGTTTTCCTCGTTATTTTTGAGCAACTCGACCGATGTTTCTAATATTTTTTGGTGCATCCAAAAATGGCAAGAGATCTTTAATATTTACTTTGTTTTTTTTAAGCCACGTGCCTGCTTTAATATACACAGCTATTTCAAAACAGGTTGGTGAAGGTTTTGTTGCATGTTGCTTTAAGGCTCAGGTCAAACGTTGAACTTCACATGCTCCAAACTCAATAACATTAAAGAAGATTTCCGTGTTATCCATTGTTCCAATCATGTTCTGCTCCTGTGAAGTTGAACGTTTGACTTGAGTCTAAGTCTTCATATAAATTTGGATGCATCTTTATTCTCTGATAATGTTGCATTAGTATTCTTTAATAAATACAAATACACAGTAAGTATGACATCTTTATATAAAAGATTGTTAATAATATTCTGTAAATCCAATACAGAGTACTAATTAGCTTGGCTGTATGGGGTTTACATTGCTCTAACATGACCCCAGTCATGCTAATTCATTGGGTCTCACCCTAATGAATAATTAATTGAAGTCCTCTTACCAGGTGATCCTGAGTAAAGTGTAAAAGGTGGTACTACAGTCTCCGGTGGAAGTACAGTATTGTCGGCGATTGCACAACAATCTTTTAATACACTACGTCTCCCCTGCATAAAAACAATAACATTGATACTTTATTATAACAATAAAAGCACAATGACAACCATCACCTGCTATTACTGTAACAAACTTATAGACACACACGTTAAAAATTTCTTGTCTACCCCCCTCCACACTGGATATTCAATTCCTTTTTCATCAGCAAAGTCGGAAGCATGGGTGGCATGGGTGACATTCATCCGTGGTGAGAGTGCTCGCCTCTCACCAATGTGACCCGATTTGAGTCTCGGACTTGTTGTATGTGAGTAGAGTCATTTGTTGGTTTTCTCCTGTGCTTCAATTGTTTTTCTTTGATTTCTTTTCATTTTCCTTCCTCCACAAAAATCAACTTCTAAATTCTAATTCAATCTGTGTAATTCTAGTTACCCTATCAAATTGTGTAGCCTTTCTTTATTGTGTAGTATTTGTGTTATGGATGTGGAAATGTTCTGGAATAGGACCTTTGCATGATGTTGTCATTTTACTACATCCACAAATGCTTTGCAAATTTTCTTTCTTATTCAAATTCGTATTACTTTGTTAGAATAGTGAGACAATTAGTGCTCATTAACTAAAGAAAAGAAAGTGTTCAAGGGATTCTAGACCTGGTAGTCATAGTTAATGACATTGTAATTAAAATGTCTCCTTGAGCAACACCATTCCCTTTTGGTGGTAATTAGAGGACTGGAATAGTACTTACAATAACACAGTTCTTTCCAATATGAACATATGAGCCCACTTGGGCAGCATTCACAACACAATCTTCTTCTATCAACACATGGTCTCCAATATGAAGTGGAAAGAATGCAACCCTGAAAAAATACACTGATTTCAAGTCTTGCCCAGTTCTTTTTTGTAAAAAGTCTTTTCTAATGAGCACTCTGACTTTGATCAGCCAAATACAGGCTGTATTAGAATATTTATATCTTGCTGGATTTTCATTTGTGTTTTTTACCCCAAAAACGGCCTGTATTTCTGTAGCAATTTTTTGCCCTAAATGTTTCATGCAATGATAAAGAGTGTGAGCCTAATTCTGCAGCCTATTTTTGGGTGGCAAAAATTCAAGGGAAACAAGTTGAAAAAGTGTTTAGTATATTGAGAGTGACTGGTTGGACTGCCTGTGCTATATAGAGAAGGTGCAAACTAATTCTTTGCGAAAGTCTACAGTTCCCTGTGTGATCTTGGAAGGTGCATCAAAGCAAGAACAGTTGAGACCTTGCAATGATTGAGGCTTGAAAAAGTGTCCAAGGTGTTAAAAATGATCTATATCATTGAAAGGTCACTGCTGTCTTCCCTTGGATGTACAAACAGGGTTACGTTACCTTTCAAGATTACACAGCAAACTGTAAATGGGAACAAGATTGTCATGGTGTTCCCACTTTTAACAAAATGAATCAAGAGGCATTACCCTTTACTAAATTTCTTAAATGGCGGTCTTATGACAGTTCTCTTGCTGATAACACACTGCCGTCCAATCCTGACATTGGCCAGATCACCACGAATGATGCAGTCTGATTGGATAATAGTCTGTTAAAAGAAAACAAGTAAATTAAATGGTTAGTAGTATTTAGAAGAAGGTTAGTCATCAGTACCCTCAACAACTCCCTTGGAATTGGTTGCAATTTACTTGCTAATGCCTCCTTGAAAATGTGACAATATTTAGTTTATAATAAAATATAGATAAAATTTCCCAAGAGTACACACACCTGTAAAATAAAATCTTTTCAAATAGACCACAGAAAATTTATAGAGCTTTTTCGAGTAGTAATCTTATTTAATAAGCTTACTGTATTAAAAACGAATTCAATGAAAATCTATTTATTCCATAATATACCTTTCCATTGAGAACAATATTCTGACTTCCACACAGAACTGATTGCCGGCTGACTTTATTCCCTGATGCCTGAATCAACAAAGAAAACACACTCCCTGAATTAGCTATAGTTATATGTAGGCAAACGTTATCATCTCAGGATCCGATAAATTATTTCCCAAAAATGTTGAGCTAAAAGTCTTCCAAATGCCTTACCGTCAGGATATAATCTGCTTTGTTGTAAAAAATATCTTGCTGCTCCATTTTTTGTCTAAAATAAGAAGAAAAGTAATTGTTTTTCTGGTTTTTAGTTGGACTGATGTGATACTGCTCTCTCTTTACATGGTCCCTGATCCAATATGGCGACTCCCTTGGTAACCAGGGCCTCCCGTTCATCCACCAAAGAATTCCACAGGCAACCCAAAATAGCAAAACGTTTTTCAAAAAACTACTTCGCCACAGTGAGAGAACAGTGAGAGAAGCATGAGGCACCACACATAATRCAGTCAACTTTCTTTACAGCGGACACCTTCGGCGCCGTCACTTGGTGTCCGTAATAGCGAGCGTYCGCAATAACGAGAATTACCAGCGTTTGCATTGCTACGCGGCTACCCCAGACAAAAATCGCGACGTGCACTTTGCAATAGACTGCCGTCAATCAAACAAGTTGACGTCATTTGTAAACACGAGTTTGGATCGGCCCGGATAGGCCACGCGAGTGTGGCTCATAATACTTGTAAACAATCGACCGAAGTTTTCGCGCATTTTGAATCACACACGTGTGTAAATGGCGTCAACGTGTTTGAAGTTGACAGAAGTTACCTCGCGTGATTGGCTCATAGCATTTGATTGACGTCGAAAAATAGCACATTTTTGGTATCCATGTGTGGCTTCTTGCAGTCTGAATGCAACGCTTCCCTCACCTTACCCTGCGAGCAGAGATTCCCTTTTCTATCCCGCTAGGGCGAGAGGAAAAAGAGGTTCSTTTTTCCTCTCGCCCTAGCGGGATAGAAAAGGGAATCTCTGCTCGCAGGGTAGTCCTCAAGTTATGGTCCAAAACCTCTATCAACCAAGTGAGATAACATAGCGCCTAGAGAAAAAAGCACTTAAAACTTTCAGTTATCATGCATTCCGGGGCAATTCCTTATTAGTTGACGATWAGTACTGCTACAATAAACTTGTAAAGTTAAAACATCATGGGCCTTATTCACGCGACAGCCATGTTGGATTGAACAATAGATTCCACCACGCGTAGCCTCAAATTCAAGCGCTTGAGAATTAATTTATGCTGGGGAAACAAAGGTTTTTATTCTTATGAGAATAAACATGGCCGCCGTGTGATAAAGATCCATGCACCATCTTGTTGGTGTTTTACGGTAGCCTTGTGGTCTTACGTCATTATGTATGTTGGCAACGCCTCAGGTGCGTCATATCCACACAAAACGCCTCAATAGTTTTTGCAAAGAATACTGTCTGAAGTGTTATTTTTTCTTCCAAATAAATCAATCTATTGGAATTTATTATATAGTATTGTAGTATCATGTTTTCCGTGGATTTGTATGTGCAATAAGCCTGAAGCGAGATGACGTTTTACCCCCGTCTCTAGACCATAATCCTTTTCACACTGCTTTTGTTCTTTAATTATGACTGTTGTTCCTGTATTCTCTAAGGAATCAAAAATTTTAATATGAAAGAATTTTTAAAACTATTATCGTATAGAGTCGGGGGTAAAACGTTATCTCGCTTCAGGCTTATTTTCACGTGCGCCCTAAAGATCGAGAACATGAATAAATTTTATGCACTAAAAAGTCACTGGTGGATGGAAAATATTGAAATTTTATGGAGTTGCGCAACTAGTCATATCGAAGTAAAATTTTGCTCTAGCGATTTTCTTCCACATATCGGAAATGCTACAACTTAGACATGGAATTAGGTCAAGAAGAGAAGTAAAATAGCGAGACAAGTCCTAAGAAAAGCAGCAAAATGGTCCACAATCACAGCTATCCCTCCCTTCCTTCGTACGAMTTCAAAATAGGCGTTCTTGGGGCAGAAAAAGTTGGAAAAACTTCACTCGTACGAGCGTTCTTTGGTCAGAAGTTTGTTGAAAAGCAYGTTCCTACTATAGATGATTATTACGTCCATGCCATAAGTGTCGAAGGAGATTATTTTAGCACTTGTATCATCGACACTGCTGGGAGTTATTGCTTCCCAGTGATGCAGAGGCTGGCAATGGAAACAAGCCATGGATTTCTTGTGCTGTACTCTCTCGATAGCGAGAAGTCTTTTGTTGAAGCACTTCGCTTGTTAGACGAGATATTCAGTATTAAAACAAGAATCGATARCTCGTGTAGACAAATCGTTGTGAATTTGGTTGCTACAAAGCTTGACGTTGACTGCAGAGAACGGGAAATATCATACACACGAGCGCTCGATGCAATGAAAGTCCGACCCTGGATAATAGGTGAGCACATTGAGATTTCTTCTAGAGCTGGGTTCCGAGTTACACTCGCGTTTCACAGCCTAATGAARAATATCGTAACTGAAGGCCAGATAAAAGAAAAAAAGAAGGGAAGAATGCGCRTGGCAAGAAAATTGAGGAGCTATAAACTAGTGATGAAAGAGAAAAGAAAAGGGAAGCGAAAGCTTGGACGGATGAGGCATTGTTTCCTGAGTTGTGGAGGATCGGCGTAGGATTACTGAGTTATCAATCTATTTGCTTGCGTTTCCAAGCTGGAAATATTGCCTGGTWGTGGACTCGTTGCACAAACATGCTGTTGTGTCTTAACTGCATGACTACATTTTCAACACCAAGAATAATCCAAGTATGTCTTAACTGTCGTCACAGCTCACAGTGGCTAAAAAAGAATAGGACATTAATGGACACTAACTGAGCGAGTTTTAGAATTTTCACTTATAGTTTAATTCTTACCTACTTTTTGAGCTTTTAAATCCTGTTTTAAATTACATGAAAGTAAAATTAATCATTTTTGACGCTAGAGACAAGCGTTTTCATTCCTTCTCCCAAAGCGAGCAAATGCCACGGGGGATCATAAACAAAAGTGTCAGATCTAGCAATAAGATCACCCTACATATATCATGAAAAGAGCCTCTTTTCWAACTTCGATCAATTTACTTTTAGGATATAAATCATATAGAACTGTATATATAATAATTTTAAAAAACTAGCGATAGCAGAATGTCCCAGGTGATCGATAGGTAACAGCGCGCGGACTCCAAGAGAGTTTTTTTCCGTCTACGATTCACGCTCATTGCCTTATTAGATAAATTATATACACAATTCCGCGTAAATCCCGCCAAAAGTTCGTTACTTAATTATTTCATAAGATTTAACCATATATTTTTATTGTTTAAATTTTTACCAATTATAAATATTATATACAGCACATTAATTTCA